TAACCCAGCCTGATGTGAAGCCAGCCAGATGAGACAATAGGCTCAAAGCACTACAGGGTTTCTCATGTGGGCTACTGAGACACATCTGAAGAGACTGTCCCCTGGTGGACAAAAGGACCCACCAAAACAACAGTCCCCATGTGGATCAATGGGACCAAAATGCAAGGTCTGTTGGATAACACGGGAAGATATTAAGATTGCATAGTCAATGAGCTAGCATCCCAAATGGTAGCGCACCATGAGGCATGAGAGCTGAAGCAAGCACACATGACTGGAAATGTACCATGCACACAAGAAATAGGGCCAGCCATGCCCTTAATTCCTCAAGCCATAAGTCTGAGTGCCTAGGCAAGAGATAAAAGGGCAACACTAGTAGTGAGGAAACACTTGAAGAGGAAGCAGTAACAAATACCCAACAGTAAGTAGAGATGGCTTAGGATGTTATAGTGGGATGAGATGGTGGGATCTCTTGTACTGGATGCCCCTTGCAACACATTTAGGCACCTACTGCTTCACATCATGTGTAGCCTGAGACATATTGCCAGGATTTGGCCAGGACAGTCAAAAGTCACATTCTTAGTGACCTTATGCCCCCTGGGTAAATTCCCATTGAAATGTGTAGCATTTTACCAGCTTCATCACAAGACAGACTGTATGTAAATGAGTCAAATTCAGAGCCAAAATCTGCCTCAGATACAAATGTACTATTCTGACCAAAGTCAACAGGAACCTGTGATGGGTTATACAAATCCCACATGGCACAATGTGGGCTTAATGAGCTAAAGAGGGCTCAGGTGGTTCCAATCTGTTGCATCTGTGAGAAATGACAGGACCGGAGGGAGACACTTAAGAGGAAAAGCCCCAGCTCAGCTGATGGCAGACCAAGGAGGAGAGCAAATCTTCAGTGCTCAGCTACTGAAGAGAGGGCTGACTGAAGGCAGGCACTCCCCAGCTGACCATTGACCGGTGTCCCCTCCTCAGGAAAGGGAGGGCCAAATGCTAATGGACTTTGAGAGGGAATCAATCCCTTTTACTTGTGAACTCAATTCCCCTTAAAAAGAAAAGGAGTACTTGTGGCACCTTAGAGACGAACAACCCCTTCACAGAACCCCATGCACAGACATAGAAGGCTGGTATTTTTTCTTTGCTGTTGCTTTTACAGCTGAAAATCCAAGTGGAAAGTGGTCCAGCCATAAAGTACCATTGAAATGAGCAGATCAATGTGAAGAGGGGTCTGAATAATCTAAGGCTTTTAAGAAAAAAGGACTTTGGGTTGGCCTAGCAATCTCATGGTAATATAATAGGCACAGATGCAGAGATCCAAGTCCAAGCCTAAAGCTCCCAGCCTGGCAAAGACTGGAAGTATTGTGCAGGTAGAAGCCTCGGACCTTAGAAGGGAGGGAGTGCCTTCTGCAAAGAATGGCACTGATGAACTACAGAGGGCTTTCTGCAGGGTTTGGTCAGGGGGAAAACCCTGTACAAAAAATGAAAGATCCATAAAGACAGCTCCCCTATGCCCTCCCATGGTGGCCCAGGGAAAATGATGAGGCAATTTTTAGGGTTCTGAGTAGCTTGTAGTCCCCAAATAATGTAGTCTAATAAATAGCGGAAAGGGTACTGACAGCCTCTCCCTTGCCAGATTTTCTTATAATTCTACAGAGAGGGGGAGGGGGTATTTTCTCCTGTGATAGAAAGATATCTTCAGAAAGATAGAAGGAAAACTTTGGTTTTCAAAATATTTGGGGGGGGAGAGGTGGAGAAAATGTTACATGATAAAGGGTCATGTGATAAAGATACAGAGGCACTCAACTGGAGTACTTCTACGTGGTCCATTAATCTATGTTCTTGAAGTGGCTGAGTACAAGGAACACTAACGTAACATACCTGAAGGGTGTGATATGGAAGCATATACCCCAGTGTCATAGTTATATAACAAAACTTTAAAAAATTGAATGTTTTCCCTTGAAATAGATCCCTGGGTTTTTTAAAACATTGTACATGTTGTAAAGACATTAGTTTGTATATGGTGTTGCACTTAAGGTAACTACTTTCATCTCAGGAACTCAGTCATTATGCATGCATTAAACCATACAAACACACCTGCAAAATACGTGTGGCAGGGTGCTATCCCTTTAAGAGCAGGGCAAGGTGGGAAAACTTTCTAGGATATAAAATAATCTCCAGAGGGGAGGCTTTGATGAAGGAAAGATCAGCAGGAACAGCAGTAAGGAGTCTACAGCCCAGAATGGGAATTCTGAGGTATGGGTTGTTCCTGGTTTTTGTTTTTGTTAAACTGTGATTTGGCCTTGCATTCCTTGAATCCTTGTACTGCTAAGGCTTAGGGATCCATATGGCTCTGCATTGCAGTAGGCAAGTATCCCCATTTTACAAAGGAGGAAATGAGGGTTAAAGCTAACATTTTCAAGAGCGGCCTCAGTTGGGGACTGTCCTACTACTAGAGTAACCAGACATCTGATATTCAAAGACATTAGCGTCCACAGCTTCCATGGACATTGTTGATTGAAGTGGAATAAGCACCAATGTGCCTCAAAGGGAGTACCTAAAAATGGAGGCCAACAAAATTAATGGAAGTTTCCAGAAATGTTGACCTCAGTGGCTTGACCATGGTCACTTAGTGTAGTCACTATCAAAGTGAGGATATTAGAACCCAGGAGTTCTACGTGCCAGTCCTCTGCTCTAAGCACTAGACTGCACAGCTTCCAAACAGTCTGTGGAAAATCCCTGCCTAAAGGGCACATTAACTGGCCCAAAGGGGTAGAAATTCCTGAGAGCTTTCTGTTAAGAATAATTACTACATTGCTGGGTCTCTGTGCAGCCACCACTTCAGCTGTGAACCCCACAGAGTGAGCACAGAGTAGGGGAGCCAGAAGGATGTCATCTCAGTCTTGACATCATTTCCTGGCTGCTGTAAAAATTCATATTTTGGCATTTCCATCTTTACTTTTAAAAAATAAATGAAATATAAATGTAGTAGAGTGGATGCTATTAATTCCTGTTTTAACAGATGAAGAAAAAAATATGCTTTCATTCTAGCAGGTGGAAAATTCTGCTGTGACTAAAATGACATTCTCCTGCTTCCTGTGTCTAGGCCTTGTCTGTGCTCAGAGCTGCAGGAAGTAAGACCCAGTTGAATGTCACTTGTTCGAACACACTGATTTTTCAGAAGGCAGTTCTTTTGAGTATTAAAAAAAGCAACAGTTCATTTTTGTGCCACTTCTTAAAGCGGATGGGGGAAGCCACAGGCTCCTGTGTGTCATCATGTAGAACAATGCCAAGCAGAGAAGAATACAGAGAAAGGAGAAAGGGATAAATACATTCCCTAACTAGGAACAGGCAACAGAAGGTGAAATCCTGACCCCCTTGAAAACAAGGGGAGTCTTGCCACTCACTTCAGTGGAGCCAAGATTTCAGCCAGAGCTGGGGCTGGAGAGGGTTCTCTGATGCTGTCCTCACCCCCAATCTACAACAAAATATTGATCTTTAGTTCTACCCCTTTAAGAAGAACTTTCTGCCAGGAAAAGTAGTGACCTCAGGAGACCGATCTATAAGCACTTTCTCTACCAAAACCCAGCAGGTTGGCAAAAGCTCCAGGGTGCCTGATCCAAAGCCCTTGGAAGCCAGGGGAAGGGATTTAGGCCCTCAGGGCTCAGCGGCACAGGGGTTCCTCAGGACTCCTCCCCCCACCCCCCGTTTCGCCATCTCTGCAAAGGCATTTTGCAGGGGGTGACGTGCAATATGGAAGGACCTTCTAAAAGCGCGAACACCCCCCACCTTGTGCCATCCCCGCGGCACAGACGCTGGTGCATGGGTGGAATCGAGGGCTGGCGCCTCTGGAGCCAGCTGGTCCTTTCCTGCGCTCAGCAGGGCCCTGTCTGCCACATCCCGGGGTGGGGGGGTCCGCGGAGTATTGCGTGAGCCCCAGACCTGCCTCTCTCCCGAGCGGGTTGCAGCGCTGCACAATCCGAAGTTAGCACTGAGCAGAAAAACACACCAGGGCCAGCCAAGGTGCAGATCTTCGCGGGGTCCGAGAGAGAGGGAGAGGCAGGCGGCCCCCTAAGAGCCAGGGGGTCTAGACAGCTCCTACCCCTGGCTTCCCCTCTTGCAAAACTAAAGCAGAAGTAACACACACTAGACTAAGTGCCCGGAGCAGCTCCGCCCCCAGCCCAGCCTGGGGCGATCTCCCGCACTGCTTCGGGCGAGAAGGTGGCCAGCTGGAGAGGGGAAGCCGTGTGAAGTGCCAAAAGAGGGGCGGCCTCGCCCCTCACCTGGCATCAGCCGCCCTGATCAGAGCTCAGCGAAATCCGCCTGGGGTTACGGAGCGAGGGCAGCGGCTGCCCCAGGAGGAGGAGGGAGGGCAGGGCACTATTCCCGATTTCCCTGTTCGATCGGGTCAGGAAAAGTTGGGAGGGGGGTGTCCTAGGAAAGTAGCGGTAGCAGCAGCCAGGCTGAGGAGCGGGGTGCAGTCCAGTCCTCCAACCCGCTCCCGGCTCCTCCGGCCGCGATCGCCTCATTACCACGCCGCGGCCACTCTCAGCACCCACCGTGCACTTAACCGCTTGCAAAATCTGCAAGCAGCAGGGAGCGAGCCGGAGCCGGAGCTTGGGGGGAATCAGGGACGGGGCCTGGCTCTTGTCCGCTTAGAAGGGAAGGTGGCTCGCCCCAGTAGCAATAACAATGACCGCAAATCCCCTGGCTTCACCCCGGAGCCCTTGTAGCCGCGAGCCCCTCCATGCAACCCCCCCCCCCCCCCAGCTGCACAGTAACCCCCGTTACACCCCGTAACCCTTCCGTGCTAGGTACAGACGCGCTCCCGTACCGGACAGATCTATCCGGCGCCACCTGTGCACACAGCAGCCCTTAGCTCTCTCCCCGCCCCCCAGCACGAGTGACCCTCCGCCCCTGGTCTGCAAGCACAGAAGCGCCCTTGCAGTGACCCCCCCGCCGGCCGGGCACCAAGGGCAGCTCGGGGGGCTCCTTACCTAGCCCTGGCACGAAGGTGTTGAGGAACAAGCAGATGACAGCCACGGGGAACGGCATGTAGGGGATGGCAGCGCGCAGGGGTCCCTTCTTCTCCCGGACTTGCACCACCACCCCGCTGGAGGAGGCAGTGCCCCTGCTGGGCTCCCCGGCCGCCGCCGCCGGGGCAGGCTCCCCTTCTTTGGGAAGCGGATCCATGGCTGGCGCGGCGCTGGCGGAGCTCGCCCGCTGCTAGAGGCGGCCGCGCTGGGGGCACGGGGAGCCTGTCTGTGCTGGGAGCCGCGGCGGCTGCTGTACTGAACTAGCGCTCCGGCTCCTGAGTGCTCGGTTTAAAGAGACAGTGCGCTGCCACACGCACTCAGGCACACACAGTCTCCCCCCCCACACACACACACACACTCACTCCCCAACGCACACTCTCTCTCCCACCCACGCCCTTTCTCTCACACGCACACGCACATACACAGTCGCTCACACACACAGTCCCTTTCCCACACACGCCCTTTCTCTCTCACACACACACACACAGTTGCTCACACACACTCTCCCCCAACACACACAACCTTTCCCACACACGCCCTTTCTCTCTCTTTCTCTTTCTCACACACACAGTTGCTCACACACACTCTCCCCCAACACACAGTCCCTTTCCCACACACGCCCTTTCTCTCTCTCTCTCTCTCTCTCACACACACACACAGTTGCTCACACACACTCTCCTCCAACACACACCTTTTCTCTCATACACAGTCTCTCAGATACACTCTCCAACACACAATCTCTCCACACACTTCCTCCAACACACACACACTCACACACACTCACACACACACACACAGTCTCCCTCATGCTCTCACCAACACACACCCTCTTTCTCTCTCCCATACACTCCCCCCACATAGCCTCTCTCTCTCACACACACACACAAAGTCTTCTTCACACACTCCTTCCAACACACACTCTCTTTCTCTCTCTCACAAACTCCCCCTCACACCTACATCTAATCTCACTCCTCAATTTCTCTCTCTAGACTAAGATAGATGGTCATGTTTAAAATTTATTAACTAAGCTGGAAAAGGGCACTCTGATTCTGAAATACAGGTCTGCATAGGGATTTAGGGTTTGTCTACACTGGCAGAGTTACCTCCCCGGCAGTTACAGCGCCACTCAGAGAGCGCTGAAGGGAAACCGCTGTTGTGTGTTCACACTGTGAGCTGCCTGCGCAATAGCATGTTCACACTTGTGGCTCTTACAGCGATATTCGGAGCGGTGCACTCTGGGCAGCTATCCCACAGAGCATTTCTTCCTCTTCTGCTGCTAAGAGTTGTGAGAAGGTGGAGGGGGTCATGGGGCATCCTGGGTCCTGTCCTAATGTCCTGTGATGCATTGCTTCGCATCTCAGCAATCCCTGTGCTTCTGTCCGCATTTGGCGCCATCTTTCAATGGTTTATGTACTGCACACTCTGCCCCTTCGATCGGCAGGAATGGATCCCGTACTGTTGACCAATATGCTGCTCGCTCTCACTAACACATCATGAATGGCAGTGGAGTTATTCCTTAAACTACAAAGGCAAGAGGAGTTTGACATTGATCTCACCACGTGTAGTAGCTATGACACGAGATTGCTTGTGGCATTCATGGAGGTGCTGACCACAGTGAAACACCAGTTTTGGGCTCAGGAAACAAGCACTGTGTGGTGGGATCACATCTTGATGCACGTCTGGGATGATGAGCAGTGGCTGCAGAACTTTCAGATGTGGAAAGCCACATTCATGGGACTGTGTGATGAGCTCGCCCCAGCCCTGCAGCGCAAGGACACAAGAATGAGAGTTGCCCTGTTGTTGGAGAAGCGCATGGTGATTGCACTGTGCAAGCTGGCTACTCCAGACTGCTACTGATTGGTCGCTAACCAGTTCGTAGTGGGAAAGTCGACCGTTGGACTTGTGTTGACGGAAGTGTGCAGGGTCATTAATCACATCCTGCTCTGAAAGACCGTGACTCTGGGCAATGTGCGTTACATTGTGGATGGCTTTGCACAAATGGGCTTCCCTAACTGCGGAGGGGCGATAGATGGCACGCATGTTCCAATTCTGACACCAGACCACCGAGCCACGGAGTACATTAATCAGAAGGGGTATTTCTCTATGGTTCTCCAGGCACTTGTGGATCACCCTGGGCGTCTCACGGACATTAACACAGGCTGATCCGGAAAGGTGCTTGACGCATGCATCTTTCATAACACTGGCCTGTTCAGGAAGCTGCAAGCAGGGACTTTCTTCCAGGACCAGAAGATCGCCTTAGGGGAATTGAAATGCCCATTGTGATCCTGGGAGACCCTGCCTACCCCTTAATGCCGTGCCTTATGAAGCCATACACGGGGCACCTTGACAGCAGCAAGGAGCAGTTCAACAACAGGCTGAGCAAGTGCAGAATGACTGCTGAGTGTGCTTTTGGCCATTTAAAGGCCCACTGGCGCTGCCTGTATGGGAGGCTGGACCTGGCCAATGACAATATTCCTATGCTTATAGCCACATGCCTCATGCTTCAAAATATTTGTGAAGGGAAGGGTGAAAACTTCACTCAGGGGTGGACTGCTGAGGCTCAGTGCCCGGAGGCTGAATTTGAACAGCCAGAGACCAGGGCTATTAGAGGGGCTCAGCGTGGGGCCATAAGGATCAGGGATGCCTTGAGGCAGCAATTTGAAGCTGAAAGCCACTGATATTTGTCGCTATGCTCAGGAGTGCAGTGCTTGTAATGCTAGGAGGTGATTGTGCTTGGTGCAGACGATGCACTGTGAAGGTTTAAGAAAATTGCTTGTTGCTTTGCAGGGCTCTGTTTGCTTTCAATGAATGGAATAAAGATTGCTTTCAACCCAAAACAATTCTTTTATTAAAAAAAAAACCCCAAAAAACCAAATCAGCACTGTGGGGGATGGGGGAAGGAACGGTCCCAGGAGGAGGTGGGGTCCTGGGATGGTTAAAGGTTTGTGTATGTCCAGGTATCCGATGCAACCTTGTCCTTTGGAGTGCAGTGCAGCAGGTACTGTACTTCAGCAGGGCTAAACTGCAGAGGGACGGGTGTTCAGTGCAGTGGGTACTGGGCGTCTGCAGGGCTCGACTGTGACGGGGCAGGAGTGGAATGCAGCCGGTACAGTCTGGAACCAGGAGGTTGATAAGAGTGTGCTGGCCATGAATGGGGGGCACATGGGAAAGAGTATTGTGACAGCGGCTGCAGGGGAGGGCGGGCGTGGAGCTGCTCAGTTTGCAGTGCTAGTAGCACCTGGAGCGTGTCTGCTTGGCGCTCCGTAACGTTTAAGAGCCGCTCGGTGGCTTCATTCTGGCGTGCCGCGTTCTCCTTTCGGTCCCTCTTCTCGCTGTCCCACCACTCCTTCGATTCTTGTTTTTCGGCCGCGGAGTGCATCATGACGTCATGCAGGAAGTCCTCTTTAGTTTTTCGTGGCCGCTTTCTAATTCTGCGCAGCCATTCAGCCTGCGATAACAAAGAGGGAGGCTGGGCTCCCAAGGTCATATCTATGAAGCCAGAATGCAACATTTTACAGAAGCAGTGTTGTTTGCAACGCACAGACCACTGATTCAGTGATTTAAAAGACAGTCACTATTCACATACCTGTCACTAACTGGCTGACCCCGGGCAAGCACATATGAACCACAAGACCCCCAAAATAGTGAGTAACCACAGGGGCAGGGGAAATCAGTGTTCCAGGACTGTACTGTACACTGGGCACATGGCTCTTGGGGAGAGCCAGCACTATAGGTGGGGTCTTATAATCATTCCTGTCCCCACATCTTCCACAGGTTGTGTTCATTTTGGAAGATATCTCGCTGCTGAGGGTGAGCAGGGAATCAAGGGAGGGTCTTCTCCAAGACTGCAGCTTCCGCCCTGGACCTTTTGCGGCTCGCCTGTGTGCAGCAGTGGTCCCTTCCCCCTGCCCCATGACGACAGAGTGGTACAGGAAAGTTACCGTTAATCGGGCAAGAAACAAAGCAGCTCTGCCAAAGAATCTGCAGCAGCGGATTGCCCAGTATCTCCATGAGAGTTTCTGTTCTGCCGCTAGACTAGGCATGTGGTGGTAGGTGCATCATCCAGACACAAGCCTGCTTTCTGCAACTCTCCTGCCCCCAACAACTCGCTTTAGCTATTCCCAAAATCAAAGCCACTTACCAGGGGCCTCCTCTCCTGTTTGCGCTTTGGCAAGCTCCAATAGCTGTGACTGGCTAGCCTCCTCCGGGATAGAGAATAGCTCCTGGCTGCATGCATCTCTGACCTCTGAGTCATCCTCTGGCTCTGGGTCCCCCTCCACATCCTTGTCCAAAATTTCCTCCTCCTGGCTCAGTCCACTCTCAACTGTCACGTGAGCCACCGAAGTATCCACAGTGGCCTTCTCAGTGGAGGTGGGGTCGCCACCGAGTATCCTGTGCAGCTCTTTGTAGAACCGGCAGCTCGTTGGTGCAGCACTAGAGCGGTGGTTTGCCTCCCATGCCCTGTGGTTGGCATTCTGTAGCTCCGTCACTTTGACCCTGTACTGCAATGTGTTTCAGTCATGGCCCCTTTCTGTCATGTATTGTGAAATCTGTCTGTAGGTATCATAATTCCTATGTCTGGAGCGCAGCTGGGACTGGACAGCCTCCTCCCCCCAAATGGTGATGAGGTCCAGCGGGGGATTGCCTGGTGCGTGGAGCAGGCATGGTCACCCGGAAAGATGTGCTGAGACCACTGCATGCGTCACCAAGCAAACAGGAAGAGGACTTTCAAAATTCCCAAGGAATTTAAGGGGTGGGACTCACGGTTGGTCACCTGAGGGCAGGGCAGTAGAGTTCAAACTGATGACCAGAGAGGCGAGAACAGGCATTGTGGGACACTTCCCAGAGGCCAGTTGTAGCGGTGTAATCGACCAGGGTGTCTACACTGGCACCATGGCGCTGTAGCCCCAGCGCAGAGAGCTGGTACGCCTCTCGTCGGGGTGTTGTTGTTGTTTTTTTTTACAGCACTGCAGCTGTGCAGTTTCTGCACACTACGTGGCTTGGCAGTGTGTACACCTCGGGAATTACACCACAAAAAGCTGCTTTACTGTGCAGAAACTTGCCAGTCTAGACAAGGCCTTAGAGTGGTAAAACCAAAGTGATATAGTTATATGGTCTTGCCTGTGTAGACAAGCCTAGGCTGACCCCCCAAGGTTGAGCAGGGCCAGCTCATATTTTCAGACATGACTTGCCCTTTGTAGACTGGGTGCAAAGTCCTGTTTAAAATCATATTAGTTAAAACAGGTTAATTGATCCTGGTCAACACTGAAGGGAGTCAGATGGGCATGTTAACTAATGTTTTAAAACA